AACAAAACCTCAAAAAGATTTACCATCTTTTTTTTCCACGTAGTTTTTTGTATAAAATTGCCACCAATAATCGATCATTTTCTATATAGCATTTAAATACAAAATTTATTTTCGAATGTGTGTACATGCATATACACTACATGTGAAGATGTAAAAATCAGATAATTTCTCAGAACATCATATACCTGTGGGTATACCATTCAATCCAGCGTTGGAAATTCAGAGTTATCGCGTTCAAGCATGGGATTTCTCCAATGGTGACATACCTGACATTACGGACTGTTAGTATAAAATGTCAAATACAAATTATTAACCATAAACATACTCTTTTTCTGCGTATGCTTATATATCCTGATACGATTTTTCAGCTGAGAAAAACGTCGTGGTGCCTGAATGTAAGATTCATAACGATGCCAGTATTGACATATCTACAGATGGAAAATTGCTGGCGACGCTTTTGCAGTCTGGTCGTATCAATGTGACGACCACATTAGGTAAACGAGGAATGCATGTTGATCCCCATTATTCATGAAATATGTATGTATATATGTATGTATGTATGTATGTGTATATATATATATATATGTGTATATATGTGTATATATGTGTATATATGTGTATATATATATATATATGTGTGTATATATATATCTATATATATATATCTCAAAATATATTAACGATTCTTTCTCAGGGCGCGTGTTCTCAGCACTTTTTTTTATCTTGAAGGGATAATTTCTTATTTTTGTATCGCATCTCTTTTACGCCAATATAATCTTGCAGGGGGATATTTTTAAACGATAACTTTTCTTCCACAAGGGGTAGTAAAACAATATACAAATAATGTGAACTTACCCTCTTCTTTGTGCATTGCTATGAAATTTTTTCATTACTTGACAAAGGCATGGAAATTGAAAGAAATAGAATGAAGTAAAAACTCGATTGTTTTAAATTGTCGAAAGACTAAAGCTATACGATTTACTTTTTCGGTTTAGGTATTTACAGCCTGCAATGGGAAACGCTGGGAGAAAAGATTTATTCGACCAATATCGATCAAACGGTAGTGTCTGTTTCGATATCACCTACGCAACAACATCTCTTGGTAGGTTTGGCACGCAGGATTCACGTACCTGCCAGACCATTCCCGATGGCTCTGATTTACAAGCTGCAGGAGAAGCAGCCCGACGACGAAAAGAATGTTTCGTCGACAGATCCGACCATGGAATTGACATACGATTCCTCCGATGAGATGCTCGATGATAACGTTTCTACGAATAGTATACCAAGACGAAATAATGTTACAGCCAACAGTTATAGACATATTCGCGACTGGCGGATCCGCGACATTCGGATGAGAAACGAGCTGGACATGGACATCAAACGTCACAGGGAGAGCATGGTGCTTATCCGGGAATTGTTGCAAAGTAACCGGGAGGTTTCGAATTATCTTAGTCTAAATTGCATCAGATGGGCGCCGCAGCCGGGTCAAGGGATGGTTTACGCGACAAACACTGGACAATTAAATATCCTGCAGTGATTCTACGCTCGTAGTAGACGGAGATGAAAGTAAACGTTCTCTTCGTATTATAATGCTTGCAATGAATGTGTCATACACGTAAGATGTAACACAGTATCGTGGTTCGCCCCCAAACAAATTTCTTTTCGATAGATTGCAAGGAGGGATATGCCAATGTGCGAGGCGGTAATAGGTTTTTATCGCAATCGCTTGTCAATCTCGGCTAATTGTATCACAGCGATAAATAGCACGAGACTGCTACGGACTACAATTTGTATTTTAATCTTTTCTATATTGTGCTATTATTTCCTTATGTTCTGCAAAGAGACATAAGAAACACATAATGTATAAATATAAAATAATATATGTTCGATCAATTAGTTATTATTGTATAGTTTATGTGGTTTTTATATTCCTATAATTTAAAAAAGCGCTCTTTGCATCGTTTCTATTAGACTGAATTTGTAGTACGATACTGTCCTTTTTAGGGATGCTTCTGTTATATCTTATAATATGAAAGTGTGGGGAACTGGGTCGTTATATAATATTAATATGTATTTACCGATCGGATGAACGTTAAATGCCATCAAATAAATCATTCAGAACGTACTTCTTCCCACTTTGATTATCTTAATCATAAGGAATAGAGCAATTTGTCGTGCCATCTCTTTGCAATACTTTTATCTGATGGATTTTTATCTATTGATACTTACATTAACTGGAAAGAGATATTTACAATGTGATCTTTTGAGATGATGTTTTTTTGTTCGTTTTACCTTTTTGTATTACGAGATGAAATGTTTATTAAAATTCCATGTATATTCATTTTAGACATCTATACATCATATATATATATATATATATATATATATATATATATATATATATAT